GCCAACAGCATCCAGTCCGATCAAACTTTGAATGGACCGGCAGCACAGCTTATTTGTACTGCTGCTCCAATTGACTTAGGAACAACTGAAATGGCTATTCCGCTATTCTCTTTTTCGCAAAATTTTACAGAAATTCTTTATGTCGAAAAAATTAGGACCATTTATTGAACAATTTTTGGGAATCTATAATCAAAATACAATTGGAATGACCGCTCATCAAGTTTTTTAAGAATATTCTGTTTCAACTCTTTCAGCATTATATCTAAACTGAGCAAATTCTGAGAATTTCATGCTTTTATAATGAAGAATACAATTGTATGACCGTTCACCGTGTTATATGACCATCAAATTGGCAAGGCCATCATATTATTTTCATGTCAACTTGTTCAGGGCTTATCTCACTCAAATCAAACAACTCCTGGAAATTTCATGCTCCCATCATTAATAGAGCACAATCGCGACGGAAATCTACTACTTGTCATAGTGGCGCATAATTGATTATGAGCTCTACAACACCTATTTTCATAATATAATATCTATGGGATTCTAGCTTATTTCCAGAATATTGACTCTGAGCGCCTGAACTGTTAAATTCATCTGAACATTATTCGAATCCATCGTTTTCATATAAGAAAACATATAAAATGATATTATCGAGTCTTCTTTTTTTTTCTGGCACATAGAATGCAACCCTACGTTGAATTCTGGAGCTCGTGAATTTTAATAAAAAAAAGGGCTACGGAGCATTTGGACTGATATTTTGCAATCCCTCCCGAGGAATGTTCATAGATCCGCAGCTGAATACTAAAATGTATATCGCACGGACATTTTGTTTTATCAGTATCAATTGTCATCACATTGATATGAAGACAGTGGATAAAATGGCAATTCATATTCCTATAAGACAACTCATCTGTACAGGTAAACTTGTTTTGAATACAATTCGTTGAATAATATTGTTCTGATTGTATGTTACATCTTGAATACTGGATAAATTGAATGACTTCTCTGTTATTCACTGAAAATAATTGATAATTATATACTAGGAATGCCCTTTGTAAAATTGACGTGCCTTGGATTTGATCTTGTTCGCACATAAATAACTTGTTAGTTATTAGGCAGTATGAGAATTGCTTCTGAGAAGTTGTTATTTTGTGAAAATATAACTCTATCCACGCAGTCACTGTTGAGGGTCTAGAAGAGTGAATAAATAAAAATAATATTCTCTATACTAATCCAAAACACGAAGGAGATATACATTGTATTCATGAAAACATGAAGAGATTGTGTTCTCAATCAATCATGCAGCGTCGTGTATATTAGTGAGACAGGAAATGGTTCGAATATGGAATCCCAGTTTGATTCTTTTTAATAACATGAATATGGAACATGATGTTTCTATGCGAGAAAATATTGAACAGAGCATATTTCTTTGTACAAGTCTGATTGTATGGCCCCAAGAAAACAGAACAGGAGTTTTCTTAAAGGAATATAAATTTGAAATGATATATGTACAGTCCCAGCAAACATCTTGATATGGGGCATCAATGGCCTAGTATATTTTTCCCATACCTGACATCAGCGGCCCAGTAAATGGTCCCATATGCGGGACTCTATATATCAGTACACTGCGGCCGGCAGCTGGTCCCAGTGCTGGGTACCCAGCAATCATATTCAGTTCCCCGGCAAAAGGCCAGTACAACATAATCGACACATTGAGTTTCCCATAGCAAGCCCAGCATATACATAAATGATGGGACTGTAATGGCCAATTAACGACATTGGTTACATACTATCGAGGTAGGGGAGGGGTAGGGGTTTTAGGGGTCCAATGGATCTGAAAGTTCTTGTACCTCTTTATTTCACAACATAACCCTCTCATCATAAATCAGACACATACCAGATTTCAGGAAAACAATTTTATGAATGACACAATGATATCTTCTTAACCTCTCTGTTCTTCAACGACGAAACTCTTCTCGGAGTGACTGCTTACTGGTTGGTGTGTGGTATCCACATCTTATTGGGTAGCATTCCTTCGAAGTTGATTCTTCGTTGTGAGGTACTTCTGAAATATAAAATGCATCATTTGTTTTATATTAGTGGTATATGAGTTGCATGAGTTGATGACTTGATAATATAGTCAAATGACGTGATAACATGGAGCTTTTCAATTCTCATTATAGTTATTCAATATAGAGATAGGTTCACATAACCTGAGATTGCTTTTGATAGCAACAAACGAGTTGGAAATGCTTTTAGAGAAGTATAGTTAACTCCAATTATCATAATCATTAGGTATATGAGGTTACGAGATACCAAACACATGCATCAGATAATGACATTCAAAACACTATGTGGTTACATTGATACTTACTCAATATTATCATATTTGAAGAATCTGTCTTCTATTATTATCAATTGAGAATACTCCTGCCATCATAAATAACCACCACGGAAAGAGAGGACCACATTAATTCGACATAAACAAACTAGTACGCGATCACCACTCGCGAGAGTCAGCCATCTTAGTCACATATGATTTTGATCAGCTGATTGTTGATGTAGACGTTCTCAAAACATCCGCCAGGGGGACGGGTAGTGAATATGAAATTGGCCAGCAAAGGGCCAGATCTCGTTAGTATTCAATTAGTTCCAGACATCTTACCGTCACAAGGCCATCATCGTATTTTCAACTGATGGTTACTTGGCATGGGAAAATCATCGGCCCATTACCTATACCCCGGCATCGTCACTTTCCCAGACTAACCTGCACTAGGCCGGACTTCTCCCGCTAGTTCAATGTTTGCTGGGGTGTGACCCACTTCTGATGGAACCACCCCTGTATCTTACGTAATCGTTGGGTAAGGATCCTGAAATTTGCTGGAGCGAGAGATATACCAAAAATGCACTCTATGACCAAGTGGGGTCATCTTCAGTGATATACACTGCTCGCCAACAGCCATGAAACCACCCCAATTTCCGGAAAATGATATTGGGAGTCAAAATATGTTTAAAATCACGTCGGATTCGGAATCAGGAAGCCCAAGTTACTAACTATTCAAAGTTTTCCTAGAAGATTTTCAGTTCAGTAAAATTAAAATTTGTCTCACTTCTCATGGAAGCACCCCCGTATCTCACGTAATTATTGAGGTAGGGTTCTGAAATTTGCCGGAGGAAGAGAAAGTCCGAAGATTAAGTCAATTACGTGAGATACGGGGGTGCTTCCATAAAAAATGCGACAAAATTTCATTTTTCCGAACTGGAAATTTTCCAGGAAAAATTTGAATAGTTAGTAAATTGGGTGTCCTGATTCCAAATCTAAAGTGATTTTTGACCTATTTTGACTCCTAATATCATTTTCCGGAAATTGGGGTAGTTTCATGGCTGTTGACGAGCAGTGTATATCAATGAAGATGACCCCACTTGGTCGAAGAGTGCATTTTTGGTATATCTCTCGCTCTAGCAAATTTCAGGATCCTTACCCAACGATTACGTAAGATACAGGGGTGGTTCCATTAGGAGTGGGTCACACTGTATATATATTGGACACATGTGAATTCCAATGATACTGTCTGTTGGTCTGAAAATAGCCCAAGTAGCTTAGACACATGAATGATCTATACAGACTGGGAGCGAGATACTGAATGGATATTGTATGTCGTCATCCCATTTCTGTATCTCATATCACATTGTGTTATTATTTCGCAAGCATTGACAGCTCTGTCTAATAAATGAGAATTATTTGAGAAAAAATCAGATCGCTATGAGCTGAAGAGATAAAACATTGCTGTTATCTGTATCATCCGTAGGAAAAGTATAATGTACAACTTGCACGGAATGCTGATTTCCCACTCGTATGATTTGCAGTATTCGCCCACGGCTCATGCTGCAAACTTCATTCTTGTGGAAGATGACTATCATTCCGTGCTCGTTAAACAATTCACCATTTCAATGTTAGTTGTAACGAATAGGGCAAGAGATGTATGCCAACAGCATCCAGTCCGATCAAACTTTGAATGGACCGGCAGCACAGCTTATTTGTTTTGCTGCTCCAATTGACTTAGGAACAACTGATATTCATTGTAGAAGGATATACAATGCGTGTTTCCATAGTTTTGGTCAAACATATTCCACAGTTATCATCAAATTCAACGGATCATTCAGAAGTATACTAATTTTTTACGTATTTTCTGAGAAAAGCGATTGATTCCCCTCCGGCTACTGGCATCGACTGAGAGTCAATTTCGAATATCTTTGCGATATGATAAAGTATTGGCTTATCTAAACATGAATAGAGTGTAAATAAGAAGCACCAATTCACTTTGTTCTGGTTTTTCGTATCTGTCTGGCTTTAGATGAGTTTGCCCAATTCGAAACTGGAAATGACTTTGATATAATAATTGTTCTTTATTTTGTGTCTTCAATGAAGTCATTTTGACACCCAAACGCGCATCAGAACAGCTTTTTTTGTCGACCTCTATAAACAATCACATTTTACTTCCGAACGAGAAATCGACTATTTCCGAAAGCAAGAACTTTTCGTCCGCTGACCCAAACTTTTTGTCCGCAAACATTCTTTGTGCGCTGCAGGGTCGCCAGTTCTACTGAATTCTCAGTAGATCTCCTGATTCGATCTAAATATGTACTGAAACGTTCACTACTACTACTACTACTACTACTACTACTACTACTACTACTACTACTACTACTACTACTACTCCCCTCAGGGGCTCGCATCTGGCGAGTACGGGAATGGCAACCCCGAGGTACCCTAGCTGAATACTCACTTTATTTCAACTTGTCTTGAGTGGGGTTCCCTTCCCTTTAATCTTTCCTATCTAGTCTCTCTCGGCTAAATATTGTCTTCCGACCCCGAAGCTATTAGGTTTGCGAGGGCTAGGGGTCTTTAATCTTTCCACTTTTTCTTTCTTCTACCCTTCTTTGGACTGATCGATCGACGACGACAAGGCTATGAAACAGGAAACTTAAATAAAATTATGGAAAGTACAAATAAAGAAGAGGATTTTACGGTGCAGGGACTCGGAACCCCAGTACCGGTCGGGAGCCGTGGTGAGATGGCAGGCCACACCCGATCGTCAACCAGCGACTGCAAAGATACCAATGTGGAAATCCAGGCTGGGTTTGATAGCCCGGCGAGTTCACAAGATGTTTATGCTTTCAACAAGAGTCAAAAGATCTCGAGATCGCCTATCAGAAAGATAGCAAGAGAAGTGGCACAAGGAACATCAGAGGGAAGAAAACGGGTGAATGCGCTAACAGGCCACATATTCCTAAATGCCCAAGCGAGAGACAGCGATGAAGAACAAGCGCGAGAAAAAAGGAAAAGAGAAACAACTCCAGTAAAAAGCGAAAAGGAAAAGGCAGAATCCACGAGGAATGCTGAGAAAGAATATAATGCCCTTAAAGACATAGCAAAGAGAATGGCAGAAGAATTAGAAATGGTTAAGTCTGTAATCACAGAGATACCGAATACGAAGAAAGAAATAAAAAACGCTATCAAGAAACTAGATGGGTATGTAAATAGAATGCCTAAGGCGTTAGGTGTCATGGCAGAGGTAGTTGAGGGACTCAAAACAGAAGGAAGAATAGATAAACGAGAAAAGCCGGAAGTCAGACCACAAACACAGATGCAGAAACAAAGTCCAAACAAAACCAGAGAAATAGGCACTCAAACAACGGAATGGAGTGAGGAAAAGTCTACAATCCTCATGAGAATTGGGGACGGACTGAGAAATGAAATAAAAGAAGAAGAAGTTGAAGAAGTGATAGACCTATCTTGGCCAGAGGATGCCTTTGAAAGATGCAGACGAAGCATAGAAACAGAGCTCATAGGCGAGGAAAGAAGCGTCATTATAATAACAAAAGAAGGTGAAAAGGAAACGAACAATTTTATAAAGAAGGCAACAGAAAGAAATCTACAAATCTCTAGAATTGTAGAACAAGAAAAGCTGGAAGCGGGAAAAATGGTCGGAACGAAAACGGTCAGTGAGATGATGGCCGAAAAAGAGGGATTCGAAGAGGCATTGATACGGTATACGTACATAATCTCCACCAATGGGGCTAAGGCTGGAATAGATAGAATTAGTCTTAGAGATAATCTTAGAAACATAGCAGAAATAACCAAAACATGTGGTCACAGTGAAATTGCCTGCGTAGTTACGAAACAAGTAGATGGTACGAGTACGAGAAAATGCTTGGAATGGGTAGGCAGAGAACAGGATATGAACTGGGTCCTATATAAAGGTGTAGACCAAAAAACAGAATGGGAAGGAGCAAGGAAAAGAAGAGAGGAAGACGTAATCATACTGAAGCCTGCTGATGGAACATCGTATGCCCAACTGGTCAAAAGCATGGAGGATACAGTGGATACTGAAGGAATAACGATTGATAAAATCAATAAAACCAACAATGGTAATGTGCAAATAAAGATTAAAGGAAAAGAGGAAAAGAGCAGATCACTATTTCGAGCAACACTGACCAAAAAACTAGAAGGAGTAGCTAATATTCATTTCAAACAAAAAACACAAACTTTCATGATCCTAGATATTGATGAGACAGTAGAAGAAGAAGAAGTCAGAAGGGTATTATCTAAAGAAACGAATAGTGGACACTCAGAAGAAATGCGAATGAAATTATCGGAGAAAATAAACGATAGAGGGCTCAAATACGCCTTCATCACCCTAGGAGAAGATAGTGCTAAGCTAATCGAGAATAGAAGAAGAATTGGAAACGGATGGAATAGATGGCGTATAAAGAAAGTTGACGAAGTCAAGAAATGCTATAGGTGTCAAAAAGTAGGGCATGCAATAAGAGATTGTACACAGAAAGAAGATGAAACAAGATGTCACAAATGCGGTGAACTTGGTCACATTGAAAAAGATTGTGAAGGGATGCAGAAATGCTACTTGTGCAATGTCGAAGGACACAGGACAGAATCGTCAAGGTGCCCAGAATACAAAAAAATGCAGGAGGCCATGAAGAAGGAGAAGAGAGGAAGTGTGGCAGCTCTGTAATGCTCACAATACTACAGGGAAACCTAGATAGGGGTAGAGAAGCTACAGATTTGATGTATAAATACGCTGAGGAGACACGAGCAGACGTAGTGATCATGGCAGAACCTAACAGAAAAAAAGTTGCAAATAGTGAGTGGATAGTAGATAGAAATTTGGATGTCGCAATATATATACGCACAAAAAAAGTCAATGTAACAAAAATAGGATGTGGATCAGGCTTTGTCTGGATCGAAAATGAGCGAGCCGTGATTTACGACCTCGGGCGACTCATAAAACTCCGAAATCTCTGAAAATTCTCCAAATAAATCTGGATAGAAGCGTCATCTCACATAATCTAGCAGACCTTACAGCTAATCACATGACATGTGATATCCTGATTATCAGCGAACCCAACAAGAATTTGATTAAAGGGGAAGGACCGTGGGTGACCGATAAAAACTATGATACCGCTATAAGAGTCACGAATCAAAAATTACATATAGGAAGGAGAAAACGAAGAAGAGGTTATCGTTGGATAAATGTGGGAGATTATCGTTTGGTGTCATGCTGCATTTCTCCAAACAGCGGAATAGATGATTTCGAAAAATACCTGAAAAAAGTAGAAAGAGATATACACAGAACCGGAAGAAGAATAATAGTGGCTGGCGATTTCAACGCCAAATCGCCAGAATGGGGTTCCACCAAAGAAGATAGGAGGGGGATTATTCTGACGGAATGGATAGCTAGGAACGGTTTAGTGGTTCAGAACGAAGGGCGGAAACCCACTTTCGTCAGAAACGAACAACAGTCGATAATAGACCTGACCTTCAGTTCGGAAGACTCAAAGGACAACAAACAGAAGTGGAAGGTCTTGGATGAAGAATCTGCGAGCCTACATCAATACATCTACTATGAAATAAAATCAACACCGGAGAAAGAAGGGATCATACAACACAAAACCAGATGGAATTTAAAAAGATTAGACGCCTCCAAATTCAAACAAACATTCGAGATGAGAATGGAAGGAATAACACACAGCACGCCGGAGACCCTCATGGAAAACGTTGAAGAAGCATGTTACCTATCCATGCCTAAGAGCAGATATAATCCCAACCGCGTAGCAAACTATTGGTGGAACGAGGACATTGCTAACCAGAGAAAAGAGTGTAACACATTGAGAAGGCGGATTAGTCGGACGAATGGAAGACCAGGAATGCAAGATACCATCGAACAACTACAGAACACACTGAAAAGAGCTAGAACAAAGTTGAAAAATATGATACTGACAAGCAAAAAATCTGCATGGGATAAATTATGTTGCAATATTGAAAATGATATCTGGGGTAAGGCCTACCAAATTGCAATGGGAAAACTCAAACACAGGCCGCTTGCTATTCCATCAGACCTCAGGAAAGAAATCATTAACACTCTCTTTCCTGAACAAGGTGAGAAAACATGGATTCCCGAAAGTGGAGAAGCAGAAGAGATTCCGGCAGTCACAGTGGAAGAACTCTTGACTGCAGCGCAGAAATTGAAAAATGGCAAAACGCCTGGCCCGGACGGGATACCCTCGGAAATAATTGAATTAGTAGTTAAAGATTTTCCGGAAACTATGTGTCAGATGGTGGACGACATAATCAGAAACGGTAATTTTCCGAAACAATGGAAAGTAGGTAAGTTAGTCCTACTCAAGAAACCAGGAAAAGACGAGGAAGACCCCAGAGCCTACCGTCCTATATGCCTTCTGAATGCAATTGGCAAACTTACGGAGCACGTTATAACGGCGAGAATCAACAGACAGCTAGAGTTGAAGGCTCCTCTGTCGGAGATGCAGTTTGGGTTCAGAGCAGGAAGATCCACAATACATGCAATCCAGGAAGTAGTACATATCGCTGAGAAAGAGATGAGGAAGAATCCAAGAACAAGAGGATTTTGTGCTCTCATAACCTTAGACATCAGAAATGCGTTCAACACAGCCTCATGGAACGTAATACTACGAGAGGAGTTCCTCAAGGATCTGTGTTGGGACCTCTTCTATGGAACATTCTTTATGATGGAATATTGCGCATCGAAACAGGGGAAGAAGTAAAAATCATCGCCTACGCCGACGACGCCGCGGTAGTAGTGGTCGATAGAACCGAAGAGGGTTTAGTCGTGAAGGTCAATGAAACTCTAGAACGGATAAGCAGATGGATTGAAAAACATGAACTGAAGCTGGCTCCGGAGAAATCCGAGGCAGTCCTGTTAATTGGGAAAAAAAAATTGGAGACTCAAGTGGCGTTTACGTTAGAAGGCGTGAGAATAATCCCGAAAACAACCGTGAATTATCTTGGAGTACCAATAGATCGGAACTTGTCATATAGACATCACATTGAGAAGGTAGTCTCCAAAGCAAAATCAGTTATGAGCGCACTTATAAGACTGATGCCTAGAAAAAACGGCCCAACAGAAAGTAAACGACGACTACTGGGGGCGGTAGTTCATTCCATAATTCTTTATGCTTCGGTCATATGGGAGAAAGCAATGGCAATTAAAAGAAACCTAAAAATGCTGACCCAAGTGCAGAGAACGATGGCAGTTAGAATAAGTAGGGCTTTCAAAACAACATCCACAGAGAGCAGTCTTGTGATATCTGGAATTATACCCATACAACTACTCGTGAGACAGAGAAATGAGATGTGGGGTAAGAACGAAGTCGAGAAAAGGGCGATAACAGAAAGGATCATTACGAGATGGCAAACTGATTGGGATACATGCGAGAATGGCAGATGGACGCACACACTTATACCTGACATTCGAAAATGGAACAAGAGACCGTTTGGAAACCTAAACTACCACATGACCCAATAGATCACCGGGCATGGTTTTTTCATGAGTTACCTAAACAAAATAGGAGTAAGCGCAAGCGACGAATGTCCACATTGCGCATTGAGAGACACACCGGAACACATGATATTTCAGTGTGGAGAAGATAGAAGACTGAGAGATGAGACAGAACTGAAACTGAAGGTGAAATTGAGCAAAGAAAATATTATGGATATCATGATGACAGAAAAGAGGAATTGGCAAGAAATCAATGAATTGGTCAAGAAAATACTAATAAGAAGAGAGACAGAATTTAGAAGGAGAAATTTATGAAGAGTCAAGATCGCTGCATAGTGAAGTAATTCTAAACAGGAATCCCACTTGCAGCAAGAATAAAGTGGAAGTTGTTTAGCCGGTAAAAATCCGGCACTACCGGACGACACATGCATCTCGGCGCCTGCTAATGCTGGTGTCGAGCTGTGTCTGCCGCCTGGTGTCTTATTGAAGATTTTTTTCCACTAAAAAAAAAAAAAAAAACTACTACTACTACTACTACTACTACTACTACTACTACTACTATGCTTTCAACAGGAGTCAAAAGATCTCGAGATCGCCTATCAGAAAGATAGCAAGAGAAGTGGCCCAAGGAACATCAGAGGGAAGAAAACGGGTGAACTCGCTAACAAGCCACATATTCCTAAATGCCCAAGCGAGAGACAGCGATGAAGAACAAGCGCGAGAAAAAAGGAAAAGAGAAACAACTCCAGTAAAAAGCGAAAAGGAAAAGGCAGAATCCACGAGGAATGCTGAGAAAGAATATAATGCCCTTAAAGACATAGCGAAGAGAATGGCAGAAGAATTAGAAATGGTTAAGTCTGTAATCACAGAGATACCGAATACGAAGAAAGAAATAAAAAACGCTATCAAGAAACTAGATGGGTATGTAAATAGAATGCCTAAGGCGTTAGGTGTCATGGCAGAGGTAATTGAGGGACTCAAAACAGAAGGAAGAATAGAGAAACGAGAAAAGCCGGAAGTCAGACCACAAACACAGATGCAGAAACAAAGTCCAAACAAAACCAGAGAAATAGGCACTCAAACAACGGAATGGAGTGAGGAAAAGTCTACAATCCTCATGAGAATTGAGGACGGACTGAGAAATGAAATAAAAGAATAAGAAGTTGAAGAAGTGATAGACCTATCTTGGCCAGAGGATGCCTTTGAAAGATGCAGACGAAGCATAGAAACAGAGCTCATAGGCGAGGAAAGAAGCGTCATTATAATAACAAAAGAAGGTGAAAAGGATACGGACAATTTTATAAAGAAGGCAACAGAAAGAAATCTACAAATCTCTAGAATTGTAGAACAAGAAAAGCTGGAAGCGGGAAAAATGGTCGGAACGAAAACGGTCAGTGAAATGATGGCCGAAAAAGGGGGATTCGAAGAGGCCTTGATACGGTATACGTACATAATCTCCACCAATGGGGCTAAGGCTGGAACAGATAGAATTAGTCTTAGAGATAACCTTAGAAAAATAGCAGAAATTACCAAAACATGTGGTCACAGTGAAATTGCCTGCGTAGTTACGAAACAAGTAGATGGTACGAGTACGAGAAAATGCTTGGAATGGGTAGGCAGAGAACAGGATGTGAACTGGGTCCTATATAAAGGTGTAGACCAAAAAACAGAATGGAAAGGAGCAAGGAAAAGAAGAGAGGAAGACGTAATCATACTGAAGCCTGCTGATGGAACATCGTATGCCCAACTGGTCAAAAGCATGAAGGATACAGTGGATACTGAAGGAATAACGATTGATAAAATCAATAAAACCAACAATGGTAATGTGCAAATAAAGATCAAAGGGAAAGAGGAAAAGAGCAGATCACTATTTCGAGCAACACTGACCGAAAAACTAGAAGGAGTAGCTAAAATTCATTTCAAACAAAAAACACAAACTTTCATGATCCTAGATATTGATGAGACAGTAGAAGAAGAAGAAGTCAGAAGGGTATTATCTAAAGAAACGAATAGTGGACACTCAGAAGAAATGCGAATGAAATTATCGGAGAAAATAAACGATAGAGGGCTCAAATACGCCTTCATCACCCTAGGAGAAGATAGTGCTAAGCTAATCGAGAATAGAAGAAGAATTGGAAACGGATGGAATAGATGGCGCATGAAGAAAGTTGACGAAGTCAAGAAATGCTATAGGTGTCAAAAAGTAGGGCATGCAATAAGAGATTGTACACAGAAAGAAGATGAAACAAGATGTCACAAATGCGGTGAACTTGGTCACATTAAAAAAGATTGTGAAGGAATGCAGAAATGCTACTTGTGCAATGTCGAAGGACACAGGGCAGAATCGTCAAGGTGCCCAGAATACAAAAAAATGCAGGAGGCCATGAAGAAGGAGAAGAGAGGAAGTGTGGCAGCTCTGTAATGCTCACAATACTACAGGGAAACCTAGATAGGGGTAGAGAAGCTACAGATCTGATGTATAAATACGCTGAGGAGACACGAGCAGACGTAGTGATCATGGCAGAACCTAACAGAAAAAAAGTTGCAAATAGTGAGTGGATAGTAGATAGAAATTTGGATGTCGCAATATATATACGCACAAAAAAAGTCAATGTAACAAAAGTAGGATGTGGATCAGGCTTTGTCTGGATCGAAACTGAGCGAGCCGTGATTTACGGTTGCTACATCTCTCCGAACATCGACACCGATACTTTCAATAATTTCCTTCATAACCTCAGAGAAGACATGAAAATACACAAAAAGGATATATTAGTAGGAGGAGACTTCAACGCAAAATCGCACATATGGAATTCACCAGTTGAGGATAGAAGAGGTCAAATCCTGTCCGAATGGTTATGTGAAGATGAACTAATTGTCCACAATGTGGGTGATGTACCAACCTTCGTGAGGGGAGACAGCAAGTCATATATAGATTTAACTTTCAGCACTAGCAAACTCGCTAAAAACGTTACAGAATGGAAAGTGATTGAAGAGGAGAGTCTAAGCTATCACCAGCATATTGTATACAAAATAGTTGGTAAAATAAATAAGGGTGAAAATAAGGTGAACACAGACTGGCGAATAGTGAAGGGAGACCTAGAGAAACTCACAGATGAGATAGGCAGAAAACTTTTTGAAAAAGGTGATAGCGTAGACGCCAAAAAACTTCAAAACATCATAACAGCTGGTTGCAACAAGATCTTTCCGAAGAAAAGAGCTAAAGGCAATAGAAATCCAGTATACTGGTGGTCAGATGAAGTGGCAGATGCACGCAGGATATGTGTACAAGCTAGAAGAAAAATGGTAAGGGCAAATAGAACAGATGATACAGCACATAAGTTCCGCATTCAGAGAGAATACAGGCAAAGCAGATCCACCCTGAAGAAAATCATACTAGAAGCCAAAAAGAGTGCGTGGGGAACACTAATCGATGAAGTAGACTCGGATATATGGGGAAAAGGCTACCAAATTGTTACAGATAAGTTCAGAGGTAAGACGCCTATCAGAGAGACAGAAGAAAATCAAATAGAAATAGCCAAGAAACTGTTTCCAACTCATCGAGTCGAGAGATGGGACAGATTGCAAACTGGACAAGAAGATATACCACCCTCCACCAAGAACGAACTCCTTGTTGCCAATGAGAGGTTGAAAGAAAAAAAGGCTTCTGGGCCAGATGGAATTCCTTCAGAAGTCATCAAAGCAGTTGTTAAGGCTCACCCAGATTTTTGTTTGAAGATCATGAACCATGCACTAACTATGGGCCATTTTCCTAAGGACTGGAAGGTGGCCAGACTCGTACTTTTCGAGAAAGGGAAACCAGGCACCGATAAAACATATAGGCCTATATGTATATTGAATGGCTTGAGCAAACTTTTAGAGTATCTGATAAAAGCAAGACTGACGAATGAGATAATGAGAAGAGGAGATCTGAACGAACATCAGTACGGGTTTAGAGAAGGCAGATCTACCATAAACGCACTGGAAAAGGTGCTAGAGATTGCTGACGAGGCAAACGAGAGAACTGGGAGAAAGAGATGTATAATGATAACTTTAGATGTACAAAATGCCTTCAATTCGGCCCCATGGAAAGGAATCTTGAATGAACTTAGACGAAGAGGATTACCAGCATATCTTCACAATATGATTGCCAGCTACCTGGAAGATAGAGTGCTGCTGATAGGATCCAAAGGAAAGATGGACATCAGTTGTGGTGTACCACAAGGTTCAGTGATTGGTCCCATTCTATGGAACATATATTATGATGGAGTGCTGAATATACGGGTCCCCAGGAGGGTTCACCTTATAGGGTATGCAGACGACCTGGCGGTACTGGTGGTAGCAAAAGATGCGGAAGGATTAGAAGCAATGGCTAATAGAGTTCTAGAGGATATATCGGAGTGGATGGCGACGAAGCAACTCAAGCTAGCCCCTCAAAAATCAGAGCTTGTAATACTGGCAGGAGGTAGAACAATAAAAAATGTCACAGTAATAATTGGGGACGTGAACATTCATAGCCAAGAATCAGTCAAATATCTCGGTATTCATTTGGACAGAAACTTGAGAATGGGAACGCATATCAGAAAAATTGCTGAAAAGGCTGGAAAAGCCATAGGGAACATCACCAGGCTAATGCCTAACATCGGTGGACCTCGAGAAGGAAACAGAAAAATACTTTGCTCCGTCGCGTTGTCGATCATGCTGTATGGTGCAATAGTCTGGAAGAGAGCCATGAAAAAAAAAATCTATAGAGACACCCTGCTGAGCGTGCAAAGAAAAGCGGCTATAAGAATAACCTGTGCCTCCAGAACCTCATCAACCAAAGCGCTGATGGTGATTGCAAGAACCCCCCCAATAGATCTACTGGTAGAGGAGAGGTCGATGATACAGGATAACACTAGTCGAGGGGCGGCTCGCGAATACATAATGAATAAATGGCAGGACAACTGGGAGTACGAAGAAAACACAGCGCGCTGGACGAAGAGGCTGATCCCGGACATACGACCATGGGTCAACAGGAAATGGGGTGAGGTTAACTTTTTTCTCACCCAGATCCTCACAGGGCATGGGTGCTTTCAGTCGTACCTACACCGATTCAAGCTGAGTAACACAGATGAATGCCAATATTGCGGAATGTGTGATACAGCTGAACACACTTTTTCCGATTGCTGTAGATGGAATGAGCAGAGAAACAAGGCCGAAGAAGAGCTCGGGAGACTGACACCGGAAAACCTGATAGACAAAATGTTGGAGAAGAAAACGAACTGGAAAACGGTGAGTGAACTGGCCATGATAATTATATCCACGAAAAGGAAAGAAGCAATAGGAAATGGAGGGGAAATATGATGGAGAATAAAAGGAAGAGCCCATATGAATATTAATTTACTGTCGGTTGATAACTCTGTGGAAATTTTCTCGAACTTTCTCCAAAGATTCAATCTCTCTCAGCTCATTGATGTGCCTACTAGAATAACGCTTAATAGCCAGACCCTATTAGATATATTGGTAACTTCTGAGAAAGATGATATGCAATCCATTAAAGTTCTTGATTTAGGTATCTCAGATCACCTAGCAGTCACTTGCGTTATCAAATCATTAAAGATAACACATAAATACAAAACAGTTTGCTACAGAGATTTCAGGCAGTTCAACGAAGAATATTTTATGCATGATCTTCACGCTATTAACTGGAATGATATCTTTGATTCCGAGACAGTCAGTGAAATGGTTGAATTTTTGAATATCAATATTTTAAATCTCTTCAATGTCCATGCCCCAATCAGATGTATAAGAACCACTAAACCCCCTTCTCCTTGGCTCACATACAATATCAAAGAAATTATCAAACTGAGGGACAAAGCTCTGAAAAAATTTAAAGTCACGAAATCTCATATCGACTGGACAAGTTATAAAGATCTCCGTAATTATACGACTGGTGCAATTCGTCGAGAAAAGAAAGCCTACTTGGAGTTTATCGTGAGAAACAAAAACCCTAGTTCGATATGGAAATCATTGAGGGCAATGGACATACTGAAAAATAAAAGTAAAAATTCAAACTTACCACCTAATTTATCGAACCTAGATATCATAAATGAACATTTCACAAATACTGATCATCTACCTACAACAGATCTGCACAGAACACTCCTTGATAGTTATAATCATATTCCCAATGATGCGCCAACTTTCGGCTTTTCTAGAATAACTCCTAATCAAGCACAACGATATCTAGATCGTGTGAAAAGTAACTGTGCTGGATCCGACGGCATTACACTCGTCATGTTACATTATGTTGAACACTATCTCATTGATCACATCACACATATTTTCAATTCTATAATAGTAACGAATAATTTTCCATCAGAATGGAAGCAAGCAATTGTACTACCATTACAAAAATGTGAAAATCCAACTGAACTATCTCAGCTGAGACCGATAAGCAAACTACCCATCTTATCTAAAGCATTCGAACTCATTTTGAAAGATCAAATGGACGCATTTGTGTATAACAATAACATCATTTCCAATGTTCAATCCGGTTTCCGTGCATCTCATAGCACTACTACAGCTCTTATCAACATCACACAAGATATATTCAAAGCAACTGATGGAAGTGAACTAACTTCAATGGTGCTCCTGGACTACAGTAAAGCATTCGATACATTGGACCATGATATTCTGTGTAACAAGCTGAGATACTTTGGATTCAGTGAGGAAGCCTCTAGGCTACTGAGAAATTATTTGAAAAATAGATCACAAATTGTATCTCTTAATGGAGAATGCTCGAGTGCTTTACCAGTCAATCTTGGAGTACCACAGGGATCTATACTTGGACCTCTTTTGTTTTCGTTATATATATGCGACTTCCACCAGATTATTAACCATTGTACGATGCATCATTATGCAGACGATACTCAGCTGTATTATTCATTTTCGTACCATAACTGGGATGTTGCAGTAGACATAGTCAATGAAGATCTACAGAACCTCTTGAATATTTCAACAGCCCATAATTTAAAGTTGAATCCAAAGAAGTCCCAGTCAATCCTCTTTGGTCCCAAACATAAACGGTTGGAAATTGAAGAATTATTTCGTATCAAGCTCAATCGAGTTGAAATTCCTATTGTCAAAGAGAGTAAAAATTTGGGTTTGTGGCTTGATTCTGATCTCAGATTCCACAAACATATTAATTCACT